TGAATTTCTCAAGTTTGCCGCACGAGAATAACGGTCGGAGGCGATGACGGTCGGTGGATTTTTTTTTTTTTTTTTTTGCATATTAGGGCTTTAGGGCCACGGAGAACTTATACAGTGGAATCCGCTTAATAAATCCACGGATAATAAATCCAGCCGCCTATTGTGGCCGCTTGAGCTGTTCACGGATTTTCCCCATAGAGATGCCTATAGTTAACAAATCCGCTTAATAAATCCACGTACTCCGCGTAATAAAGCCACTTGGAAGTTCTCAAGTCCGCAGTAACGTTTCTCCATTCAAAATGTGGCATCCTACCCGCTCCTAAAGAACTGCGCTGGAGCAGCGGTCTGCAGCAGTTGGAGTTCTAAAAACAGAAGGAGTTCAGGGCTATCAAGAGCGCAATTACTGTGCATTTCAGAAAAAATGTTCCACCAAAGCAGGGACCCTCGACTGCCCGCATGCTCGTTGGCATAGCAGGCATGACGGGGAGAGGTTGTGGATGGATATGTTGACTTAATCGCTGCGCCAGCTTTGCAGTATGCGCTGGTCACTTTCAGGGGGACATGGCCCCGCACTACGGTCTCTAAGGTCGCAGGTTCGGGGGCATGTCCAACCCTAAAACCTGCCTTTATATGTACAGTCCACAGCAGAAGTAATGTGTGGTTTCAGTCATGGGTATGTTCTGCATCTGAAGCTAAGAACGATTAGCCAGACTACAATGAAACTTTGAATGCAGCTTATATGTATCGTCACCCTTGCAGCTGCAACTTTAGCTATTGACATCTTCTTTTCAATCACTCCGCATTAAACAATCGCCAGTCAAAGCCAAACGTTGAGATTGGTAAAACCCTACATTACTTAAGCGGTGGGCTGTACATTAGGCTGCATTACGAACGTCAAATTATTTGGGGTCCGGACCCCCGGGACCCCACCAGTCGCGGAGCCCCTGGGCACTTTCAATATAATAGGTAAGCAAGGCAATGAGAAATCTTAGCCATACGCTTGTTATGCGTAGGGAACGAAACGGCAGCTGTGCTACATGCTTTTTTAACCCTATTAGTGGCAGGCTCCTGGCTACCCCTATTAGTGGCAGGGGGGCTGTTTACGACCCCCCCCCCCCTGATATCTCGAGATCTACGAGGGGCGTTCAAAAAGTTCCGGCCCGACCATGAAGGAGTAGAGATACGACGTCGACTTATTAGACCAAAAATGTTCATTTAGTCCAATAACCAGCGTTAAGACAAAAACATTTCGCGCAGCGCTTCGCGAGAGGCCCCTGGGTCTCCATAGCCAAGTGGGTTTTGGACGCATCTGGCACGTCCAAGACGGCTGCTTTTGTCTCCTTGTTGTCAGCGAAGTTGCCACTGCTAAGCAATTTCCTTATGTTGGGGAGGAGGTGGCAACCTGAGGGTGCAAGGTACGGATAAAAAAGTGGCTGTGACAACAACTCGAAGCCACAGCTCACTGCTTTGCTGATCGTCACCCTGCTCATGTGTGCTGGTGCGTGGTCCTGGATCAGGCGCACACTTTTAGTCAGCTTCCCTAGTCTCTCCTTGATATATGCTGCTCGCTACTGTTATCGAAAGGAGGTGTAGTATTCATCATTAATTGTGCGCCCCTGTTTTAGAAAGTTGACGAGCAGAGCCCCGCCAGCATCCCAAAATGCAACCACTGTCACCTTGCCGTCTGACTTAAACACGTCGCACACATTTGGTGGCCTTTACTCAGTGTGCTTCCACTTGTGCAACTCGGTCACGCCCTTAGGGTCAACGTGTGACACCCACAATCCCTCCACGGTAACAAGTAGTTAAATGAACTCTTTTGGATCTTCGATATAGGGACAAAAATTTTCGCGTTACGCCTCCTTTCGAGTTTGCCTTTCCTCTGAGTCAGCAAACGGGGGATGCATCTTGCAGAGATCTTAAACATATAAATACGCTGTCGAAGAATGGCTTTGAGGAACCTGATAGACACCTCCGCTCCTGCTGCGTTGTTCCAGACCAGAACATTTGCCATTTTTCACAAAGAAGGGCTTATTTTTCATATTTTCTTGAGTCAATGCTGTTGATGGCTGGCCACTGTGGGGGTGACCATTAATGATCTGTTGACCAAAATTGAACAGAGATGCCCACTTTTTGACGCTACTGTAAGAAAGACAAACATCAACATGTGTTGGCACTAGCTTTTCGTGAATAACGTTTGGTGCATGTTTCTGCAATGCATGAACCAAATAACTGTTCTCTTCTGGGCGTCGCCCATTCTGACCGGGAATGGCAAACTATGTTACGACTAATTAGCAGCCTGAACCAATCACACGGCAGGTTGGTTAATGGCTACGTAAGTGGACATCCCAATAACACATCATTGAACACACCGCGTTGCTGGCCGAAATTCCAACTCCTTCATGGTTGGGCCGGGAACTTTTTGAACGCCCCTCGTAACGGGCCGATTTTCAAAACTCAAACGGCATTCGATTTCGCTCAACGAGATCTACATTTCTAAAAAAAAAATTAAAAAATGTCAATAGGGGAGGGGGGGTAGAGGGGGGTAAAAACGGGCAAATTGCAGATACATTTTAGACTGTTTATCACGGCCAGGTTTCTGAACCAATCTTAACACAACTTTTGCCGATCGATAGAGAATGAACCAGGAATTCACATGGATCCTAAAAAATATGCATTTTCAAAAATCATAGGCGGATACAGATCATTGAGATTGGGGGTACACAAAAAGTATAGTAAATAAGGTTTTTGTTGGTACTGTTTCTAAAAAGGGTGGCAATGGTCTTGTTATGTTACAATTTTCTTATGAGAGAACGACTACAATTGTATTGGTCATGCATAGGCGGTGTCAGGGCACCTATGTTGGGAGGTAAAAAATAACCCCCCTTTTTGGACGCCTGGATCCACCTATTATAGCAAAAACGTGTGAAAAGAGGATGCACAATAACTTTGTATATGTTATCACATGATACCTTTCATTCACTGTCCGTAAAACTGGTGCAGCATCGTGATCTTCGTCCAAATGACTCGCTTCACGAATAGGACTCCCCAATTCCCAGTGCTCTGGAGCCGCCCCTGGTGAAGTTATGAACTTGAAATTTTCAGGGAATGTGCCCAATTTAGTTTTAGGAAAAGTTAGAAAATTTCAGCATCGTAGCTTCAGCGGTTTCGGAGATATTCCCGAAAAACCTGAGGGGTGGATAAAAACAACCCCCCCCCCTGCCACTAATAGGGTTAATGAAAATAGCTGACACCAGTTAATAAAGCCACCGCTTAATAAATCCAAAACACCTTGTCGCCAAGGTGGATTTATTAAGCGGATTCCACTGTATATTATATCTCTATGTTTTGGGCGCGCAGACTGTGGTGATAATTTTGCGCCCATAACGTTACAAAAATCAAACAAGTATATCACAAAGGACAGCATTAAAGGAAATAGTTCACATTTTAACATGGGTTTTGAACTGGAATAGCAGTTCCGTAGCTTGGGCTGAGACGAGCATAAATCAGGAGCTTTTACAGCCCAACGATCACCCTAGGCAAAGATATTCTATTTCTCGTCCCGAAAAATGTGTCTTGCGTTGAGGATGTGTGCCTTGCATATATTCGCATCCAGTATGAAACGAGCATGGGTCCCGAAAATTCTTCAGAAACTAGAGAAATTATCTACGAGAACTCTAGAGAAATTCGCTCCAGTGATGTGACATATTATAGTGCATGTATGGCCTAAACTTTTGAATTCTTTTTAAAAGGGGAAAAACGCAAGAAATTACCCAACGTTTCGCATTTATTGCTTAGTCATGGGTCTTCGAGTGCGATTGTGACACTTTTGAATACATCATATGAAAATTGCATATAAATCACACACTTTTTGGAGGAGAGGTCTTTTTCTGGGATGAATCGCTTTTCTTCAAATGATGAGAAACTCCTGTGCCTCGCTTGCTCTTTTATTGCTCCATTTTGGGCGAAGCTTGCTTGGCGCCGAGTTCGTAAGGACTTGTTCTTCCTTGCATCTTCGAAGAAATTCGATTCGTTCGGTCGTTCGGTTTGCTTTCGTTAAAGATAGAAAGATCGCCTAAAGTGATATGACTCATTCATTGCACTTCTTGACATGTTGAGGATTATCAATAGACAGGTGTGACATATTATAGTGCATGTATGGCCTAAACTTTTGAATTCTTTTTAAAAGGGGAAAAAACGCAAGAAATTACCCAACGTTTCGCATTTATTGCTTAGTCATGGGTCTTCGAGTGCGATTGTGACACTTTTGAATACATCATATGAAAATTGCATATAAATCACACACTTTTTGGAGGAGAGGTCTTTTTCTGGGATGAATCGCTTTTCTTCAAATGATGAGAAACTCCTGTGCCTCGCTTGCTCTTTTATTGCTCCATTTTGGGCGAAGCTTGCTTGGCGCCGAGTTCGTAAGGACTTGTTCTTCCTTGCACTATAATATGTCACACCTGTCTATTGATAATCCTCGCTCCAGTGAGGCGCTCCAGTAACAAAAGCACGAGCAGATCGCCCAAATGCCGGTGGCCGCGATAATTTCTCTAGTTTCTGAAGAATTTTCGGGACCCATGCTCTTTTCATACTGGATCGCGTGTGCCTTACAGAAACTGAAAAGTTCTTCCTATATCAAAAATATAGAAAATAATCTTTTGTTGTAAAAAGGTTTTATTTTCTTTGCTGATCATTTTGAACACAAAAAATCACAAATCCATTGCAAAAAAAATAATTTCGTGAAAGTGAACTATTTCCTTTAAGAGAGGAGAACGCTACTGCAGCGGTGATAACGGTCGGCAGTGAGGGAGTCAGGCCGGAAGTGCTGACGGGCCGAAGCCGACACGCAGCGGTTCGACCGCCATACGAACCCATAGCTGGCCGACACGCAGCGGTTCGACTGCCATACGAACCCACAGCGGTTCGACCGCCATACGAACCCACAGCGGTTCGACCGCCATACGAACCCACAGCGGTTCGACCGCCATACGAACCCATAGCTGGTCGTCCTTTCCGGGCGGCGACTTTTTGATGAAGGCGCCGTAATAGGTAGCGATGTTCCGGTGGTGCGAGTACTGCAACAACCACATTTAGTTAGTTATTAGGCAGTGAGGCCAGTACCACGCCGACAAACCGATACACCGACATCTCATGTACGAAAAATTCACACCGTACACTAACACACAGACAAGCACACAACGACGCACGGACAAACCTAAACTAAAGTTACCCATTTATGGATAAATTTTCCAAATTTAACCCGCGCCCTGATGGGGTCTGCCGAGCAACGCGGTCTGATGGAGGGGGGGGGGCATTTTGCCCCCCCCCCCCAAGATCTCGAGAACCACGCAACATAGCGACAAGCGGCAAACGGCGTTGGATAGCCCCGACGGGGCCCTGTTTCACCGGTGATAGCAGCACGCTGCTATCAAATTGCGCGAGCTGACGTAATGTGATGTCGTCACACTAATGACGTTTCGTGTAATCCGTGAGCTTTTCCATAGCTACGTTTGGAACAGAGTTGCTGTCTCGTTGAATGCGTTTGATACATTTGTTTGATCGCACGGCCGTGAAGATGTTAGCAACAATATTTGATGACATCACATAGTTTGACGACGCCATGGTTTGTTGATGTTTCCATGGAAACCCAATTTGACACGTGTAATAGCAGCGTGCTGCTATCACCGGTGAAACAGAGCCCGGGGAACTACCTTGTGACCTAATTTCATTGACCCTGGTCCAGCCGATGACGTCACAGGTCAGGTTAAAGGTCGAATTTTCACCGTTTACAGACATTTCAAGAAATGCGTTGTAAAATCGATTAAAATGCATTTCATTGAAAATCATCACATAGGAAATGTTCGTCAAACACATATTTTGCTATTTGAGGTCACTGATACCAGGTCAGGTCACAGAGGTCAGGTCACTGAGGGTCACAAGATAAAAATATCATGTGATGCATGTTTTATGGTCCATTTTATATGCCAAATGCGATTATGTACGGGACAGGCAGCCCTTGGGGTCAGTTGTGATTATGTTTTGGTGAAGGTCAGATCAAGGTCAGGTCAAGGTCAGGTCAAATTAGTTCAATTTTCAAAGTTGATATTTTTGCATAAAATGGGTAGGTACCGTAAAGTGGGGCTATTTGAAACGGATTTTACTGTTTTTGGCCTCTCCCTTCAAAACGGTTGATATTTCCTATTGCATGTAAATTGCAAAAACGTAGTTCTCTGTAACCGCTTTCAGATAGGTCAATTTTAGTTCAGCTAGTAGCCAAAATTATTTTTTAATTGAAGCCTATTTCAAATAGTGTGGGCCTATTCGAGACAGTTTTAGTTGCAAGGAAACTGCAGAAAATTGGTCAAGCCAGGGATAATTCTTTTAATGCCATGCGATTGGAAATTAAATTTTGATACTTCTGGAAAAAAATCTTTTAACTCAGCTATATAACCTTCAAAATCAAATTTTTCTTTTTTTGCTCTGGTGGCGTAAAACATATAGGCCGAAAGTTGGTGGGGCTATTTGAGACAGGCTCGCTACTGCGTTAAACGCACCGTAATGCATCAAAAGGGGGAAAGCAGTTTCCAAAACGGTTGAATGAGCGATATGCATGATCGATTGTTCCATTGCACATCAACCTGTGAAGAAATAACAGAAAAAGGTCAAACGGCTTTGATTTTATACCGATTTTCCTAGATCACTGCATGTTGTATCGAATGGCCGGTTACCGCACTGCATCAAGCACGTATACTGAAGGCTCACCTAACAGTAAGTATGTATGATAAATAACCTTCAATGGTGCTTATGGTCAACCAGAGTAAACATGGGTCGATTACCGACCCCGTCAGTGACTGATGAAACACATTCTATGCACATTGCACACATTCATAAAGGGAACTAATATCGTCACAAACTGGATGGTCGTATTAACCTTCGCCCCAGTGGGGGGGGGGGCATATGTTACCACCCTGTCGCATTTTTTGCGTGTGAATAAAAAACCGCGGCACGTAGCGCCGCGCCGCTTGCGGTAGCTTTTTGCACATCAATTTTGGACAATGTGTGAAATTTTTGACCCCAGGTCATGTCAGGTCAGGTCACCAGGTCAAGTTAACTGATCAAGCCTAAAAAAGTTTGCAATCATGCCCAGCCTGCAGTGTTTGTCAGACAGGTTTTGAACTTGGTGGATCGCATGATGTTATGAGTGCCTACAATTTGTATATCTCGGATTTTTTATATGCGTGACCTAAGGTAAGGTCAGTGCCGCGACCTTTCCATTTTAAGTCAATGCAGAAAAACAAAAATGTCTCTAGATCCGTGTGTAGGGGAGAGTGGGGTAAGATGCCCAGGGTGGGAAAGACGCCCCACCCCCTCTAGCGGCGAAACAAAGAATCGGACCTGGAAATTAATGTTCTTAGCGTAAAGCGGAAGCCTGCCTTGTTAACTGCACAAAAAAAATTGCGAAGCTCAGTTGGGCAACGGCTGGCTTATGATTGCATGTTTTTTATTTTCTGCTTTCAAAAAATATTTTGGCGTCAAAACATTGTAAATATCAAAGAAGGTAAATAATTTTTGCGTCCCTTGCTATAGTCGTGATACATTACCATGCATGTACTGTGTCCCAAACAGTTTGTTTCAGGGTGTAGTTTTATGGCTAACAAATTGTACTGATTTAATGTTACTTCGGTTCTTGGGGTAAGATGCCCCCTGTTCTGATGGGGAAAGACGCCCCCCCCCCCTAAATCCGTAGGCTGTCCTTCAAACAGCCCGTCAAATCATTTATTACATACTTGTGATGTAGACAAAAGCCGATCTGGGACTATTGAGAGTCCAGTACGGTCGGGTGCTCCCCATGCCGGTCTCTCGGCCCACATAGCGACTTTTTGGGCGGCATCTGACTCTGAGAGCCCTCACGACGGCCTCTGTGCGCCCCATTATTGGCTCCAGGGCCCCTCACATCCTTTGAGGGCTCCCACGTTGGCCCCACGGGCCGCGCTGGCATCGGAGGTCCCCACGATGGGCTCGAGGGCCCTCAAGCATCATGAAGACCTATAAGAGCCCCACAGTGGTCTCCGAACGCCACCACGGAGGCTTGTTTGGCCGCGCTGGACTATGATGGCCCTAACGATGACCTCTGAAGCCCCTTACGACTACTTTTGCGGGCCCTTACGATGACGTTTGGTGTCTACTGCAGGCTCGAAGGGACTACTGATTCGTTCAGGCGATTCACGTGCCCATTTATGTCACTTATAGTGCAGGGGGCATTTTTCCCAACGTCAGGGGGCGTCTTTCCCACCCTGTGGGGTAAGATGCCCCCTTTCACTTCTTCAGGAAAATGCTTAATAGCAAAAAAAGGTATAATATTTCAGGCACGAAAGTGTGATATTTTTGGAGAAAAAAGATGTCGGTTTCCGTTGAAACTCCAAGTTTTTGCTTTCCCATCGTCATTTTCGAATAATATATGACATAGCAAAACCCTGGGCATCTTTCCCCACTCTCCCCTACGCATAGGAACAGTCCAAATATTTCAGAATCACAATGATTTGGACCACCCGTGACGACCAAGGTGTCTTTTTTGCTGATAGCCTCTAGAAAGGTCATCCGAGGTCATTTGAGGCTACAAACAGCTTTTTGCCAATAACTCGCGATTGGAAAGAGATAGAACGCTGGAGTTGGCCTCATTGTGTTTATCTTGCCGAGACGCATCGACTGATATGCAACATGACCTTTTTCGGTCAGGTCATGACCTTGACCTGAGTTCAAATTTTGAAGTTGACCTTTCAAGGTCAAATTATAGTTCATCCGACGCGTCTCGGCGAGAGGAACACGATTCTGGCAATAGAAATGTCGTAGCTTTTTTTTAGTAAAAAGTTATTGTCGAAAAACACTTTTCGTAAAAACAGTTATTTTTGAAGTTTTTGCCCTCTGGAGGCTAAACCGTTGACCTGAGGTCATTTTTGATGATGACCTTATGAAAAGAAGAATTCAAAAGCTATGGACTGCTTTTCCCAGCGTTTTCTAGCTTTCATAGTTCCTGAGATAATGGCATGTTTTCTGAAAAATATAATGACAATTTGCTCATTTTGACCTTTGATGACCTCTGCTGACCCCAATATTGTTCTAAGGTGAGAAATGACAAAATACTATCAAACGTACGCATCGAGAGCTATCGACTGCTTTTTACCGCGTCTTTCTAGCCCTCTTAGTTTTTGAGTTAGAGGTGGGTGGTAACATATGCCCCTCCCCCCCCCCCCCCAGGGTGAAGTTGGCTGAGACCGCCACTGGGGCGCGGGTTAAGTTACAATGTGTAAATATTCCTTGCTGCTTAAAGTACCATGACTCCCATGGCCGATTTATCGGTGTTCCTTTCGAACGTTTGATACACCTTAGGCAGATGACGGTAAGTCTTTAGGATGCATCATATCACCTGTTTTAGGGCCTTGACATCACAATCATTAGCTGTCTTAAGTATTTGGTATACGTTGAGGTTTGACGAGGTGGGTAGGGGAGAGTGGGGTAAGATGCCCAGGGTGCGAAAGACGCCCCACCCCCTCTAGCGGCGAAACAAAGAATAGAAACTGGAAATTAATGTTCTTAGCGTAAAGCGGAAGCCTGCCTTGTTAACTGCACATAAATTTGCGAAGCTCAGTTGGGCAACGGCTGGCTGGTGATTGCATGTTTTTTATTTGCTGCTTTCAAAAAATATTTTGGTGTCAAAACATTGTAAATATCAAAGAAGGTAGATAATTTTTGCGTCCCTTGCTATAGTCGTGATAGATTAACATGCGTGTACTGCGTCCCAAACAGTTTGTTTCAGGGCGTATTTTATGGCTAACAAATTGTACTGATTTAATGTTACTTCGGTACCTTGGGGTAAGATGCCCCCTGTGCTGATGGGGAAAGACGCCCCCCCCCCCTAAATCCGTAGGCTGTCCTTCAAGCAGCCCGTCAAATCATTTATTACATAGTTGTGATGAGAGACAAAAGCAAATCTGGGACTATTGAGAGTCCAGTACGGTCGGGTGCTCCCCATGCCGGTCTTTCGGCCCACACAGCGACTTTTTGGGCGGCATCTGAC